CTCCGTGACAGACAAATCCAGAAACAGATGCCAACAAACAGACACATAGGCAACAAATCACTTAGAAAGTTTGAGGGAAGCGTTTAAACCGGGGTAAAATAAAGAAGGTGGAACTGGATAACTAAAATCGACATGCCATGGGAAAAACCAAAGTGCACAAAATTCAACGATTTGCACTTCCAGCCCAATTCAGTACCAATTTGTAATTCGTTCCAAATAGCCAGCAAACATGGTTCCAAAATGATAGTGTCTATATACTCTGAGCTGTTCTAGGTTACGTGCATCAAAAGAGTGGACTAACCTAATGTTGAGGTACAAATGTGAGGCAGACAAAAAAACAGCAGAGTGCATGGATGGATGGGTTTCATGCGTGATCACTCACAGCAATGCTCTAGAGATGTGAGGTCACTGATAGTACGGTGTCGTAAGAAACAACAATGAGCTGGCTCACAGTAGTGCGGAATCAAATATAAATCTTCAAACGTCCCGTGCTTCATACGCTTTAGCAAGCAAATAGGAGTAGAGTCGGAGGGCCGGACGAACTGACGTCACAGCATGAATACGGCCCGGAGGCCGTAATTTGTTAAACATGATCTAACCGATGAGTTGTATGAAATACTGCCTAGAATACAGTTCCTCTGGTGTTAGCCTGACGTATTTTAATTTGTGATACTTCAGCTACGAGCCAAATACTGAGCGCTAGCACAGCACTTGCCAGACTGCAACATTTGGCAATGGTGTGAAAAGTTGAATTATTCGCTGCGGTCTTCATCTCATGCTAGGCTGGATAGTCTACCAACTTCTTTCCTTGTATGACCTCGATTCAACCGAAACTTGCTATTACAGATATAGGCCAAAAGTGGTCCAAAACAAGATATAGAAAATCACCGCCGAATTAGTTACACAGTGACTACCCAAAAATGAAAAATAATTATGAAAGAGCAAGTCAGGAAGTAATTGACATCAATGAATTTTATAAACTAAGCCTAAGGTGAGTTCTTAGAAAGCTTTCACGCCAGACCTGTCGGCCGGCTTTTGACAGAATTCCGCACGAAAACATCCTAGAAAAGTTAGCAGGTTTAAAGAGCATTGATCCCTTGAATGCATGCTTCAAATCCTACCTTATGAGTGGAACTCAAAGTAAAAATAGGGTAAATTAGATGCTTCTCTCGCCTGTCAAATGTGGTATTATTCAGGGAAGTGCATTGGGTCCATTGCACTTCTTAATGTGTATCAGTGAATAACAGGAACAACAGAATTTTTGACACCGTACACTTGCGGATGAAACAAAGATACTATGCACTTTCAATCCCAGGCACTTGAGCGATACACTGTATAGGATAGACCTACTGGCCTTGGAATCGTGGTGCACCGATAGGCTAACGTCATCCTCAGCGGAGAAATGCAGCTTGATAAACGTTTGCCGAACGTAATTCATCTTATGTGCGTTAATATTACTATACGTGATCTGAGCATACGCAATGCTAGCACTGAATTTCGGACGGCAATTTGAGTTAGTAAAGGCCAGAGCAAGAGAAGTGCGAAAATCATCTTCAAGTCATTCGTGATGCGCGAGTCACAGTTGCGCTAATTTACGGTCTGCATTCGTCCCATGCTAGAACACTGACCGATTATTATCACAAATGGCAGAAAATGCGACCTCACGTGGCTAGAGAATGTACATGGATCACTAAGGCTCACTTCAATCGCTTGTCCAAACTAAACTACTTGGAACGTTGCAAAGTGCTACAACTGGAGTCTTTGTGAAGCTAGACTTAAAGCTCTTGTATTATTTGGTCCGTGAATGTGTATGCGAATGAAATCTTAGTAGTCGCTTCAAACGGGAACATAGATTTGCAATTGGGAATACCAAGTATTCATTCCACATCCATCAAGACGATCAATATCCAAAGAAAATTATACTTAAACAGATACACTGAAATATGGAACCGTCTTTCCGCTGAAGGCCTGTGGATCGCAATGTTAAATAAGGAAGGCAGCTTCTAAGTATACAATATCAATGTTACGAGTAAATTGTAGTGTAAAATACTAGTTGAGGAAAGAGAGAGTTGAAACACGTGTGTTTAGTACACGGAAGCACAAGATACGACAACCACAGGCAATCCTGGAGGATTGTATTTAATAACGGAAGAGGAAATCCTCTTCACTCGAAACTCTACACGGAAAAGCATGGCTCACAGCTACACAAATAAGTGCGCTGCCAACAGATTTTGTCTCAACGCTTCATGTTCTGTTTACGCAGCCATGGATCCCTATAGACAAATTAAAAAGTCTGAACTAGAAAGGTAGCATTGGCTGAGTCTATCTCCATTCACGTAGTCCATGCGTTCGTTCCCACTCAGCCACACACATCCTTTGTGATCCGCATACAAACAAGTCATGCGGCAAGGAGAAGCCGACCGATTCTGCTTCCTGCACCTTCATTCATATTTCATTTTTGTTTTTATTCGGCTAGGCCTAGTGTAGGGTTAAACCAACATGCGTAACTAGTCGGAGCAAGTATGCCTCATACGCCTCCAAACGAATTTACCCTTTCGGTTATCGCCGCCGTCATGTGCAGCTGCTAAGCTAAAACAAGAAAAACTTTCGTTTTCCCCCACTCTCTCTGAATGCGATAACGTTCAATAAAACGGGCTGCCTAGATCAGACGTTCTATACTCAAGTAATAGTGGACTAAAGTTCCTCTTATCCCCATACAAATGCTCTTCATTCCTTATACCGGGAAAAAGAAAAGTTAGTTCGGTTCGCACACACGAAGTATGCTATGTTTCTTGCTGTTGGAAACGATGAATACAATGAAAGGGGTATGAAGGATGTTCAACACAAAAATACCCTAATCGAGACTATGCGACTCGAATGCAGAGAAAATGTTGGAATGGTAGAATCATTCCTGATAAAGTGATTCCTTTTATCACAAATTTAGATTATTCCATGGCTGCTTTAAATGAAATACAACTCTAAACATGTGATCACACAGGGAAAAGTATGTATCATTATCTCGAGAATATGATGCAAACTGAGAGAATAGACGAGGCTCAGGTAATCAATCAAAACCACTGTAACTCACCAGTAATGTTTTGCAGGAACACTAAGGGAATGTTGCGCTGACAACAAAGTTGGATGAAATGGGCGCCTTTGAGTGCCGAGTCACCAAACAATACGCCATTATTGCCTAGTATACCAACAGGAAAACCCCACAAACGGGAAAAACCTACAAGTAGACAACAGGTTTGATCAGAATGTGGAACAGGGCACGAAAAGGAAAAATGGGGCCAGTATTCTGACTACCAGGACGGGAGCGTCCTCATTCATAAACACTACAGATATGCTCGAATTGTCATGGCGGTTGTAACTAGATGTGGGTGAATACAAGTGAACAGTGATGATTACTTTTGAAGTGATGTGGACGATGCAGCTGGTCGGCAAAAATGCGGCTGTTGTGAAAAACCTACCCTGACGCATTCCGCAGCTGAGCTACGTCAAGCTGAAAACTAATGGTGTGGGAACAATGTCGGCCTCGAGTATTCAGTGGTTGTCGCATGACCTAGCATTAGTTAGAACGACACACAGAAAATAAAAAGGTGAAGTAGACTAGTACGTTACTGGTATACGTGTATACAGCAAATGTCCGCACCTTACTCGCCACCATCTAACCTTCGTGTCACCTACAGGTCACTTATGGGCAGTGTAAAGCTTTACACAGTGGTATCGTCCTTACAACGTCGTCAACGTGGACATGTTGCCAAGGGGACAGGTACACTAGGCTGCGATCGGTCAATGAGATATAACAGCGGCCGCAGAGCGAAACAGCTTCGCACAGCTCCGTGACAACCATCCAAACATACGATTCAGCAGAGTGGACCTACAATGAAAAGGAAGGACTCCAGGATGCGGTTTATGTTATCTGTCAGTCAGTGACGAAGTGCGATAAATCTTGTTGACACGACATGAGTCGGCATGCTAATGAGAACTGTGAAAAATAGGAGGAAAGGCGACGGAACGAACGCAAGGATATTTAAGGAGAATGGACCAAGTAGTAACTCATTTAACAATCGACAATCACAGTGATAAAATATCGCTCATTCTATAGCATAGCTTGGATTGCGTTCCCATGTTGTATTTGCCTTAGCTAGTAAGCTAAAAATACGTGTGTCGTCCCAGGGAATCCGGGATTGTTTTACAGGTGTAAAGCGAAAGTAACACACGTGGTGGGAGCTGGTAACTGTGCCCGGTTAATGCTGGGATACATTACTATCATGTAGAACTTCATATAAAATTTTCCACGATAGAGGAAAACGAGATTAGTTTGTGCATGCAACACCGCGCTTTGATGAAAATTCTAGTGTGAGGAAGGGCATAAAACCGGTGATAGGACGTTTAATCACATTAAGATATTCATATGGTGCAAGACCTCCAAATGTGGTCCTACATCTCTCACCGACAATTCCGGCCGATGTGAATCCGAACCTGGAGCTGTTGATCCTACGAACATTTAGCATATTGAATGACTTATCGTTTCCAATCGTCGCGTGATCTGGTGTAAAACTGTAAACGTGTCTCATCGCTCATTTGGAACTGCAGACACGTTAATCCCGGAGAACTTGTTGTTGCAAAAAACTGAGCACCACGTGGATTCAGAAACAAAATTCTACATTTGATCGTGTTGAAGGGGCAGTATGATTTGGGAGGTCAGTAACTCCTGGGTCGCATCGTCAATTACTCAGTATAGTGCGGATCTAGCACCGTAAGTTCCGCCCGCTTAGACCCGAAAGGAAAGGAAGCAATTCATGCAGACCTATCGATGAACTTTCTATTCTGAATCAATCCAAACATTAGCGAAACGAATGGATAAGTGCACCGATGCAGTTTCCGCTTCTTGAAATCCGTAGCTGTTGTTTTAAGTCTAGGACTGACCTGATGTGCTCAACAGCCAAATACAATAGTGAATTCACATCAGAGAGCAAAAGCGCAATAGACCAGCTGGCACGGCTTGCTGTACTCACTGCTACAATATATCAAATAGCTGCAAAGTATAGTAGAAAATTAGTTTTGGAAATTGAGTAACCCTTTCAAAGTACAAATTCTACCCAAAAATAGTGGTCATGGAGCACTATAAGTGGTGCAAAACCCAAAGCAGTAATACTAGGGAATGATAACGGGGCAAGTGGTGCCTAAAGTCCCTGGCCTGAAAACGGCAGAGGAAAACTAATGATAGTCCCTGCAATTGTTAACTCTGATGCAGTAGTCATAACCGATCACGTACTCCCATGCTCAATCTTTAATGATTAAGTTGCCTCTGCTTATGCAAGTGCGTAGAAAGACAAGTCGCCAGTCGAGAATGGAAAAAGTGGTACACTCCGTATCGATGGGTTTAAATTCAGTAGCATAATACGCCAAAGCAAGTTGATTCGACCAACTTGCTCCCCAGACCCCGACCGAGTCTCTTTAGTCTTGCTCAATTATGATGGACCAAACAACCCTACATAACTTCCCAACCTCTTCACTTGCTCAATCGCTGATTGGAAATTCCCTCTACAGTGGAAAAAATAGACACTAGTTCTACTCCACAAACGTCTAACGTAAAATGCAAAAATTGCCTCATTGTACCCATTATACTTTTATAAGCTCCAGAATTGTGGGACGCATGGGTGAAGACCGCATATTCGAATATCTAAATTCCTAGATACGTAAAGCGATCGAATACTTCGGATCGATATGGCAATTACCAGCGAGTGTGACGATTTGACGGTAGCCATTGGTGCTTCCGCGTGACGTAGAATGGTTTCCGTAGTGGCACTCGAAGCTACATAGCACCACGCGATAGACAGTGGCAGGTATTGTACCAGCTTGTACGTCGGATAAACGCCGACATACAAGATGACAATGCGAATGAGATTGAGGAGGGAGTCAACGGATAATGCCAGATCAGTTATTGTCCAGACTGGAGAGCAGCGGATCGATAAATCTGAAAAAGTTGTGGCAGGAAACTTAGTACACCATGCTAAATAAACCGGCACTAATTTGTCTGGAAAAGATGAAAAGTAAAACAAAGGTTAGAGAAGAATTCAATGACTGAGAAAGTCAACAAAATGGTACGAGGTAGTGTCATTACTTTCACAGTACTTGACTAAATGCTGAGTGTCGATTAGAAAGGTCAGGGTGACAGGTTCAAAGCCACTGCCACTGGCAGTAGCTTACGAGACTGCAAATCAGACCTCTATAGCCGCACTGACAATAATGCCTAGTTTGGCAAGGAAACGTCTGGAACAAAATTGCCTAGCTCGGAGAACACAACAATCCTCTCATCCACATTCCGAGCTACAGGTATTCTCAATAATTCCCAAATAAAAATCTTAGCCCACAACAAGTAAACTGGGAGAAAAGGTCAAAAAGGATAAAAACGGCAACATCATGACGTACCACAAACTAAGGTCTCGCCGAACAGGGCTTTAAATTCAGTGAATCGACTCCCGTCGACTAAGCGGGCGATTACTTCTCGAATATCATAGGTGCGACGCAGACTGGTACCTACGATACCGTACAATTGCTCGGCCGGATAAAGTGGCGGATCGGGGTCAACCGTTGAAGCCTGTTAGTTGAAAAGAAATTGCAAGTGAAATTTGAAGTGAACAAACGAGTGAGGATTCTAGTTAGTTAGATGCACGGCCCTAATTCCACAAAACACGGACAACAGAGTCAACAGCGTATGCAGCACAAACACAATCCCACTGCTGTAAGTATAGGCGGCATAACGGTTGCTAGTTGGCCTGCTATCACTGTACCAAAACATGTAATAGCCATCCGTTATCAGGACGCGAAGCCAGTACAACTTGACTGCAGTTGACCAGGTAAACAACGAGGTTGGATTAGGTACGTTAATCGTTCTAACTCCAGAAACAGTGGGTCGGAAAGCTTTTGAGCAAATTTCAGTAGTAGACTACATCCAGACCCACTTGGGCGTTGGTCTGATAACTACTTTGTGGAAATCAAAGAAATGGAGGCTAACAGTCGGTGTCTAACCGTGTTTCCCAACGTTCGTGGAGGTTGAATAGATAGAGCACGAACAGGGAAGATAACAAATCAGCATTTCAAACGATGTTACGAAAAAAGTGCATCCTGAACGTAGGTGCGAGAGTAAGATGGTCTCAGTAAAAAACAATAGTGGAAAGGGTGGAGGGTCATTTGGAAGTACTGGTTGTGTGGATGAATAGCGACGCGCAATCCAAATGAAGGTCGTGATTCGCAGCGAAGTGGACCGTGGGCACGGGATAGAGGTCCCAAGTAACATTTAAACTGTCCCGGGCTCGAGTGCTAATGAGAGCAAATAAGGTCGAAACGCGCCGTGGAGTGCTGTGTTTTCGGGTACCAACACCAAACTTCCACCAGTATTGGAAAGCTTTCCTAAGCGTGTCGCGAAGCCACCGCCTAGGTGCAAAAGGGCCGCTGCTTCCGCGGAAGGTGTGTACGGCAATCGGATAGTGGAACAGACAGACTGGTGAAATGAAAAGAATGAGCATCTACTCGTTCATTGTTAGTAGTGTAATCAAATGTCGTGCGACGGAAGTAGCAATGAAAATCAACATGAACGTACGCAAAGCAGTTAATGGGATCAGCTGTATGTTTACATAACGAAACTCATTGCATACCATGGTGATTTCTTCATAACAACAAAGCACCGTGCCTCATCGCACAAGGATTGGTATGAAACTGGTGAGTGATTTTGTCGCTAACCCTAGGGCAAATCACAGCGAGGTCGACAGTAATGGGGATACTAACGGGGATTCGGGAAAGAGCTCGTTCATTTCGGTGGATCAACATTGCGATGACATCACAACGAAGGAGGGTCAAAGAATAATCTATTGCGAGTAATGGTTTGTCCAGTGGTTCACTGCGGAATACCCCGCAACAGCAAGAAAGAGAGTGATATGGAACAGAAAAAACGACATCCGAAGGCAGTATCACATCAGGCGCATCCAAGTGAATGAAAACCAAAATAATCCGTTCTGTGCATGGCGCTGTTCCAGCGCTTGGGTTAATGTAAATAACCGAACCAGCATTCTCCATAGTGGAGGAAACCAGGTTAACCTCAACAGATTACGCTAGCCAGAGGAGCGGTGAGCTTCCGATGTGACACTTTTAATTAGTTTGGAAACAGTGCCACTATGATCTTCACATCACGTCATCCGACAGTTTAGGCAATCGCTATTGGCAAAGAACCAAATAAGTGCACCAAATCGAAAATCCCATGTGAAACGGGGCTCATGACTTGGGGAAAAGTTGTTTATTCCTAAAATTAGTTGTGAAACCGATGACACTTTCTGGAAGTTACGGTGGAAAGGGTAAGTAGATGACTACGTGGCAAAAATCGAAGGAAAAACAGGGGACCAACGCAGGTGCGTAGATGACATTTGCAGACTAGTACACATTTTCTTAATTCGTTGCATCGTTCCCTCAAATGTTTGCATCGGTCACTTGAAGTTGTATCGCATGCGTCATGTGACACGGTGCACGTGTGTACTCGCATGAGCCATACTCGGGGACTGTGATCGTGAGGTGATCACGTGATCGCCTTGCTACCGACTGCACTTGTACGGTGACTAACGTAGCGGTGAAGTTATCTAGGCACGTAAAGTTGAGTGGGACCGCGCAGTTAGTGCAACAGCTTGCTCTGCTCCGAATGTCACAAAATGGCACTCGTACGCGGCACTCGGCTGAGGTGAAGAATATGATACTTGACTTGTGGAGAGGAACGCGACTGGAAGCATGTACACATAGTGAACGTAAACCTGATTATTTGTCGCAGTTGGATAAAAGGTTGGTGGCAAGGCGATCACGTGATCTCAAGTCGCGAATACAGTACATGAGTACGGCTCATACGAGAGCTCACGTGCAACGTGTCACACGACGCACGCGGTGCAGCTTCAAGCGTCACCGACGAAAAAATTTGGGGAAACGATGCAACGAATTGAAAAAGGTATGGAGAACATTTGCTCCAGTATTAGTAACGTAGCTAAGTAGTAGGATACACGCTCAACAGAGAAGCGTGGTGGTCGAGCGGATCACACGCAGCCCTAGTGGTTCACGAGAATCAGTGTCTGTGTGAAGTGACAAACCTTCGAGTATTCTTAACAATAGACGAGTGTTGACATGCCTGCCTGATATGAGACTGATGAAACGATGGTAGTAGCAAAGTGGTGGCAGTGACAACAGAAGACAGCTCGTGAAGTCCGTACTCCATCCAAATTGAACTTCATAAGCTCAGACAGTTTCTTTCCATGACTATTCCGAGTGAGATGACTCACAGGCGGTTAGTTAACTGTCGTTGTTGGAAAGATGCGTAAAGGTTACCATAGTCATAGACGAAGAGGTGTGTGTGAGGACGGGTTACTCACGGGATATTGTTTCACGCGATTGAGACAAGCGACAACATCGCGGGCGATGTGCAGTGCGTGCTCATCATCGAGCGCATAGTGATCGGTAACTCCGGACGTGCTGCAAACAGGTGAAACCGTGGAAGATGGCACAAAGGTAAACACAAAGGTTATGCAACCCCAAACGTGCTAAGCATGTGTCGCAATAATGAAGTGAATGCGATAAAAGCTGTACAGTCCAATGAAGCTCGGAGAGAGGTTAAGCCATCATCCACCTTGCGTATGATCAGAGAGCTGTGACGGCGAAGTAAACACAGTACTCCCATCAGGTAACAGGCCGTAGTGCATTATCAGTCGTTCAGAAGTAAATGCTGAGAAATGGGAACTGCCAAATAGGCGACGGGCTCCCGTGCTCTCAACTGAAGGGCTGGAATTGACAAAACCAACTTAAAAATCAGAAGACGTAGATTATGACATGACGCCGTCATTTCGTATTTAGAATTATAAAGGGAAATATTTGTTCAAATTTCTCAAACGAAGACACCCTGTTTCATTTATGAAAATACTTCACTGTCTGGTTAGTCTTAAATGAAAGCTGGCTGGAATTTTTGAGTCGGTGTATCACTGATAATTGCTACCCACGTGACTTCTTGAAACGATTAGGAAACTGCAAGACTCACCCGACTGTGTCTAACTTTAAGCGACTGGTTTTGAATCATAAGGAAACATGGTTACATGATCAACCAGCTCAGAAAAACAGCCCAACGTTATCTATGTTTGCGTAATTCTTTGACGCTGGGGTGTCGAATCCAAATCGTAAACTCCAGCCACGATGTTATCAAAAAGACGACTGCTTCTGCCACACCCAAGTTTGAGCGTACCATTTGTGTTGAACGACAAAAGGGAGAGTTTACTGTGGATGGTTCAAAATCTGTCCATAACATGTCAGCATTGCCCCTAAACCGGCTGCAAAAAGAATCCTTATCCCTCGGAGTAGGATTCAAGACACCACGTGGTCGGATCCACAAACCATCCATTGATGCCAATTTTGAGAAACTGGCACCTATGACTCCATCTGCTAACAATGATGCACGATTAAAGAACAAACCGGTAGATATATCCCATTATTTCTTTAGCGCTCCAATACAACAGTAGGCTTGTCTCGCTGGACAGCATCATAAAGCACCATGTGAACTGGAACAAATCAAGGATATTGTTATAATGAAGCCCGATAAAGGCACCGGCGTTGTTATCCTAGATAGGTCCGAGTACCTACGTAAGATGGAGACCATATTGTCTGGCGGCGCACTGTTCAAGCCGGATATTAGTTTCGACACTGTCCGCTTAGTGGAAAGCAGTTATGTCGTGAATTGCAAATCTTCAGGCTCCATGGATCCATCTCTGACGACGAATAGGTGTTGAAACCTGTGGGAATCCATACAAATATATGGTCACCCTAAGGTACATAAAGCATGAATACCCATGCGACCCATCATTTCCAAAGCTAATTCACCGTACCACGCCATTGCCAAATGGCTGAACAGCATGCTGGAGCCCTTAAGAAAGTCCATGGCAAAGCACACTCTGTCAAACACTTTTGAACTACTTCCTTCTTTGGAATGTCTAAATTTGACCGGAAAGCGAATGTGCTCACTTGATATTCAGTCGCTTTTCAGCAACATCCCTTTGAATGAGATTGGTGAGTTTATATCAACACATAACGTAAGACTTTGGCATCTTACAGAATTGTTGAAGAACATGATTCTTCTGTGCACACAGAAAAATAAGTTATACTTTTCAGGAAAAGCATATCGGTAGACTGATGGTGTGCCGATGGGTAGCCCACTAGACCCGTTATTGGCAGATATATTCATGGCAATGATTAAAGAAAAGGTATAGGACATCAAAGGTTCGGTCACTCTATACTAGCGTTAAGTTGATAACATATTGCTAATCATGGATTTCGAGGTGAACATAGCGTATGCGACCGACACACTCAACAAAATGCAACCAAACCTTACCGTGACGATGAGCAAAACAATTGCTTTTCGTATCTAGTGCTAATTATACGACAGCCAGACGGTTCTATAAGAAGGTCTGTCTTCAGAAAGCCGCTCTGGACTGACCAGTACTTGCATGTTACGAGTTTCTCTCCAGTCTAACACAAACGCTCTCTCGTCCGGACACTGTTCTATTGGGTCCAAATGATCTGCATCCCAGACAACATAGAACCAGGAAGTAAATTGATATCAACATGCTGCAACCCAAGGGTTATCCATTAAAGTTTATTGAGCATCACTGTAAAACAAACAAGCAAGATCGTACGCTGACAGTCCCAAAGAAGCCCATTTTCATTGAGCTACTTCGCAAAGGTGACAATGTGATGAAGGTCACCGAGAAATGCGTAAGTGAACACTAAAAAGGGTGCACAACACGGCGGAACTGCGGCTGACCCTCTCGACTAGACCTGTGCTCTTGTAAGACACCGATGATAAAGCAGTGCATCTCCCACTGTCTAAACAAAGGTACCTGTAGCTATGGAGACAGTCACGTCGGGCGCATTAACCGATGTCTAGGTGTCAGGATCAATGAACAGATCTCAGTGGTTACGCAGCCGGACAGGATCTGTGACGACGGAATCAGTTGACTTGGGAAACCGAGTTACCATAACAGTCACTAGACACATTGCTGACTGCTTGTCACCGAGATAATTCCAGTGAGTCGTTCGCAGTTCTAATGCGCGACCAGCAGCTCCAAATCCTTAGGCTATTGGAGGCGATCGTTATCGATCGCGAACCACCACCGCTGTACATCCAAAAACAACCGACAGTGGCTCTAATCTTAACGTGTATCCCATACGTTTTGCTACCTATGATCGCCTTTTGTTTATGTTCTCATATTGCATGTTTTGTGATCGATCAGAACGTGCGAAGTGACGGCGTCATCGCACAATCTACATTTTCTGATATTAATGCTTTGAAAGTCAACTTAGATGATATAGAAGATAGGTGCTGTAGAACAAAAACAAACTGATTCGATGAACCACAGTGTTTGAGCCTATGGAAAATAAGATGGCTCATTCACGGGAACACAACAGAACAAAACGATGTCTCAGGAAGTATGGAAGACTAAAATAATTTAGCTGCAGCACGCCAGTGTTCGAACTATACGGAATCCTATATGTGAATCCTACGCTAGCAATATCTGTATTTCGTCATCGCAACCGATGCCCATTTAAAATTGTAACTACGTCGGCGTTCACTGACTCCGTCAAAAGCAATCCATAAATGCGCGCTGTCACAATGAGTATAACGAAATTCGGCCAAGTATGCATCGAGCATTGTCACAAAAAGTAGCACTGGTTGTGCCCACGTGTCCTTGCAGTGTATTTCGACCAATCACTACTCGCGATTTGAAGCACAGAGGGTGAGCGACACGTATGATAATTCTACACACACTGTTGTAACGGTGTCCTAGCGTGTTGCATGGTAGCTAAAGGCACAGCAACGGCCACAGCATGGAGAGCTCAACATGGAGAACAACACAGTAAGTTATGGTGAAGTCCACTCGTAGCGAACGATATGGCGGTGTAGTCTTAGACTCTTACATCGGTCCGGGTATGGAACAATCAACCAACTGTATGTGAGTATGATAGCGACATACTGGTCCCACTCGATTCGCTGGCCTTCACCTTAGTTTATAGCACAGCAAGTCAAACTCTAGGATTGATCTCACAAGGAATGAGAAGAACCGAGTGAAGGCCTCATCAGACCAAGCGAAGAAGCTGCGTTTGAGTGTCTAAAGTATGTGCAGTCCATCACGGTGTAGTCTTCTCTTGATGTCGTAGACCTCAGATCGCAGAGCCTGAGGCCAATAAAAGAAGGAGCGAGGAGCAATGGGCAGTCGAGGGTGCAGGCTCAGCTATCAACATCGACTACTGAAGCTTTGCCGAGAGACAAAATGTAGCAGAGTACAAATAGACGCGGTTAGGGTTTGCTGAAGTTGGTCGTATTAGTCTCAAGTGCGGATCACTCTCCACCCCTTAAAGTCGTCCGCAAATGGAGCCCTTTCACCTCATGCCCCAGTGACAGCTGACCACACGAATCGGCTTAACAATATAATTTCACATATCGCGACACTTGATGACGAGTACACTGGGGGCTTCGCGAAGGACGACAGAATATCATAATGTTATGCAGAAAATGGTAATTGGGGTAAAATCACATGCAGTGGATCGACCGATAACCATGGACCAACTAGTGCCATGTAGAGCTGGCGGTAATACGAGAAAGTTGGGTCAAGGGTGTCAGTTCATTCGCTGACTGCTAGGTAACACAGTGCAAGCGCTTATGCTCCAGGGCTGCGCTGATGAAACAAAGATTGTGACTGGTAAAGAAGTGGAGAAATCAATCGCCATCATTAATATCAAGGGTATGGACAAAGAAGTAACGTCCAGCTAATGATTGACCATCGACAAATGGATCACTGCAGCATTCATTCCACCTGCAAAAACCGCAATACCCGTGTTCAAAACTATGAGAGGAGTGTTACCGATAAAATGTAATCTTGGATGCCTTCAAAAAGCGGTCTATGGAAATCCACGCAGAAGGAATACAAAGATGTCGCATCCTCTGACGCTACTTATAAACCCCGATGTAAGTGGGAAGTCTGACAGCGCGGCCAATCAAAATAACCCAGTCGACAGGACTACCTTCAGTCTTACCGCGAAGTGATGCACTTGAAGCCATCCAAACGGCGTGAACAGACATCGATGAACTTAGGGCAGAAGCAAAGATCAGGTAAAATTCTGAAGCGTTATATGTGCGTTCAGAGGAAACACACAATTAGTTTGAAATATTACATGTACAAAAGTGGCCTATTGATCGGCCAGACAAGGAGACTGGACACTAGAAGATGGGATGTGAAAATAAATTTCGGGTTAGAAGATTGTTTAGCTATACATTTTACATCACTAGGATAGACTCTATATGACCAACATGGGGGATAAAATGAATAGAAAAGAAAGAACGTGGAAAGAGAGCTGGTTACGGAATCTCATGGGTACGAGGCAAATTCAGACTGAATAGTTAGGAATTAGAGTTTGCTCGAGGTTTCACCCCTGACCCCATCGTATGATTCACTAGGCAAAGGCGAGCAGGCCCAACTCGGAAATGTGGCTGTGAATTATCACGAAAATTTGCTTCAGCTAGATCACATAAAACCTTAGTAGACTAACAATAGACAACCTTCGATATTCGACTGATTGAACTGATACATCTGCAACCACCGTCATTTCCCGTTGATTGGTCGGTGAGGCTGCTCTATTTTGAGAAGAACCTACCCGGTTTGAGGCGGGTGGTAGAGAACTAGTGCCAGACACTTATGTTCTGATGGTCTGAAAGAGCCTTGGCGTCCCTGCTCTACATCAATAGAGTTGAATATCTAACTCACACTATGGCTTACACGACTGGGTCATGAGAACAGAGACCCTTTGAGTTCGCCCAAGAACTCTTAGGTGCATTGCTGAACTTGAGATCGGGTGGCGCGTAACCACCGCCTAATCCGACATTGGTGATCCTGAGGGCACTTGTCAAGTGCCACTCAGCCTAACTCGATGGTGAAGCTAAGAAGTCCAGTACGCTAAGCAAAACTGCTATATCTAAGCGATGGAGAGCGGAGTTGCGCAAACTAAAACCTCAGGAGAAAATACACCAAGAAGACTGAAGAGCACCGTATACCCCAAGTAATAAATGGCTCAAGTTCAGGAAGATAGAGAGGCAACTGCAATGTCGTTCACGCTTCATTTCATCAAGTATAACCAAAGAGAGCATAAACAGATGCCGGGCCAAAAATGCGGTACCAGCGTGTGGCCTGTTAAACACAGAGTAACAACAACGTCTACGTATCGCGTAGTTTTACAACCGGCGACATATAGACACTAAACAAAACAAAATAAAAACACTGGATCCTGCCACGTAGGTGAAATGTCTTCAACAGCGGAGAGTGCTTTGTAATATCCATAAAAAACGCCTACATAACATCTTGTTCTGGTTTAGAACGTGTCCTCTGATGTATTTAGGTAGTTCAGTAGGAAATTTGTGCATATTAGTGCGCTTTGGCAGGCCTAATAAGAGCACACGGAAGGGTCACACACAATGACTAACCGACAGTGAAGATCAGCACCTCCCAAATCCTCGGCTACAACTCGTTCACCGGTCGCAGCACGTACTAATGGAGGGCCACCTAGAAATATGGTGCCCTGGTTCCGGACGATAATGCTTTCATCGGCCATGGCCGGGACGTAAGCACCTCCTGCAGTACAAGAACCAAGAACAACAGCAATCTGAAAACAAAACAGGAAATCCCAGCAAGCGATATTAGAAATATCACTAATCCATTGAATCGCAGAACATGACGACGGCTTGCTGCTTGCTGTTTTATATCGCGGATTACCAGCAAGTTTGAAGTTTATACTGAGCAGTCTCGTCAACTGGATTTGACCCTGCCATATGGCTACCATCGGAAGGTGGTTACATCAGTGAAAGATAACTTTCAAAAAAAAACGCAAGTGACAATAGGGTTACCTGAGGTATGCCTTGGCTGGACATAGTAGCTTGATTGTAAAAAATTCGGCCAAAGTGATCGCGGTCAGGAAAAACTTCATCTTGACGAGGAAGATTGGCGCCACCGGAATCAACTGGAAAATACAGACGGAGGTATGTGATGAAAAGGACAATGAACAGCGATCACTGTCCCATAGCAACGACAGAGCAACTTGTCTCTGTGTTATATTGATTTGACTGGTAAAGGAAGCCGTATAACCGCATCCGCGTAAGCGGTTGCAACAAGATCCTCTGAGCGTCTGCCGACCGTTCTACTCACAAAAGCACAGTATTGGTCTTTTCAAATTGGTGAAGCAACCAGTTACTAAGTATGACGCGATCACCCGAACATGTCAGATGGGGACTCTAATAGCTGTGTCACCAATAGAGCGAAAAATGAGGGTATTGAGAGCAAGTCATGTCAAGAATGCGATTTTAGGCACCCGTGACGGGTGAATTTTTAGCCTTGACACATGCTATCGACATGACAAAAAAAGCAATTCAAAAGCGACGGAACAACAGCAAAGGAAAAGCAGTGAAAAATATAAGCTCACTGATAGAATTTACCGGCTAGTTCTTGAATAGAAGCGGTTTGGTCAAATAGAAATCTGGCTAAATAGGGAATGACCGACGGACCATAAGCCCTAGTGCAGACTTATATTGCTCTGCACTTCTGTCTGGTCGAGGGGGTAGATACATAGTTGGAAAGTGCAGTGGGAAGAAGGCGGCTAATGTTAGTGAGGATTCTTGATACAAGTTTAATACATGAATTAACGCGTGTTGATACAACTGTTTTTGTTCAAGTTGGCTTTGGAATGCCACTGCAGCGAGGCAAATGCGCTTCAGTGACCTATCAAGCAGCTTGAAAGGCCTACACAGTAGATTTGGAAAAATCACAAAAGTCCAGTGTGGTAGAATGCACGCAGTGGTGAACTTCGGAAGAAAATTGTATGCTACGCAGGATGACCGCAATCGAGCGACGTAAAACGAAAGTCGCCTGACTTTAGTGGATATTTGATTCACGTGGAGTGACCACGACAAATCGTGGCTCCGTGTAACTCCTATATATTTGACTGTCGTATAGAAGCTCAAGCTGCCACCTTCAGGCGGAAATATGGGACATTCCGTGACAAGTTCCTGGTAAAGTGGCGCTTTAAAAATGCGTTCAGTGTCAAGCAGCGGGAGTATGACCATTGTACTAATTCATTCAGACAACTTTGTAGCTTGGCTGAGGAGGCCGATGTTTGGTGATTCACGCCGATGTCAACATTATTAGCGTATTTTAAGAAAAATGTTCCTCTGGGACAGGTATAGAGCTTGCGGAATTAGAGAACAAGAATCGTGACGAAACAGCTAACTGAAGGACACCGGGTGTTGTGTTAAGTGGTGAGGAGCTTTTGCTATTAAACCTGGTAACCCGAGTACGTTCGGAGAAATAACCCTTAAGCAAGGATACTAGTGAAGGTTAAACATCAGATGCCTGTAGATTTTGCAACGATTTACGGTTAACATAGCCGAAAGAGTTGCTGTGGTCGAGGCTCGGATGTCTATGCAGTTATCTGTGGTGTGAAGCAAGGCTGTGTATTAGCTCCTGCCCTGCTTAATATATACATGCCATGATGTCTTGTGCTTTTGATGCCGCTTGTGCTTACAGTCTTCGTGCGGAGCACCGTATTGATGGTGGGTTGCTGAACATCCGTCGTTTTGGTGCGAGAACCCTAATCTGTGAGACAACTATGCGTAGGTTGCTGTTCGCTGATGACTGTGTGTTGTTTGCACACAGCGCGGATGAGTTGCAGCACATGACTAGTGTTCTGGCTTCCTCAGCGACCAAATTCGGGTTCACCATCAACACAGGCAAAACTGTCTGTCTGTTTCAGCCTTCACCGGAGGTGCAATCTTCAATATTGCCGCGAATCAGCATTGGTGCTGAAGTATTGGAAACCACCTCCCGCTTCAGTTATCGTGGGAGTGTGATGTCGACTGACCAGCAGCTACACAGTGGGTTGCGTATTCGCGTGTCGAAGGCAGCGGCGTCATTCAGGAAGCTAGAGTACCGAGTGAAGGAACAACTATCAGCTTACCATTCGCACGAAGCTGATGGTGTACAAATCCATGGTGCTGTTCGTTCTTCTATACGGCAGTGAAACGTGGACGATGTACCGGCGGGATGTGCGATATCTCGAGCGGTTTCATCAACAGTGTTTGCGACGGATTCTGCGCAGCGGTTGGTGCGACAGAGTTGCGGACACGGAAGTGTTGCGCCGAAGTGGAATGTATGCAGTGGACTGCATAATTTTGCGGAGACATCTGTGGTGGCTTGGTCATGTGTGGCGTATGGATTCGACACGGATACCGAAACCACTATTATATGGTCATCTGACTACTGGGAAGCGGCATGTGGAGAAACCGGAGCTTCGTTACCAGGACATGATCAAAGTGAGCCTCCCACGTTCTAATCTTGATTGCAGGTTATGGGAATTGAAGGAGGCTGATCGGCATACATAGCACGATCTGATCACGAATGCAGTTGCTGAGATGCAGGATCATTACTGGACCATTACCTACCTACCGTCCATGCACGGACTACGTGGACCATTAAACCGATTTTTGATGTTATATGTTCCGTGGGTGTGGATCACCGAATGTTAGGAAGCTTTCGACAGAATCAAGTCGTCATGAAGTTCAAAACTGATGCTAGCGCACTACGATACAAAGCTGCCAATCGTCGTGGCATCAGATGCATCCAGTTACGGAGTTGGCGCAGTCGTCTCGACATTTTTAGGCGGATCTGAGAAGCCAGTCGTTCATGCTGCTCGTTCCCTGACAGCAGCAGGAAATGTGTCAGCTGTGCGCGGTAACGATGCTTCACTGCAGTGCGACCACCACTAGTCGAACGCGGGCTGAGTAGCAGCAGGAAATAATTATAGCCAATTTGAGAAGGAGACTGTCGTTATTGTGTTTCCATTGAAGTATTTCCAAGAAATGCTATATGACCGTAGTTTAACCTTACTAACGGACCACAAACTGTTACTTGCTATATTCGGCTCGAAGAAAGGAATTCCGGTATATACGGTAAATCGCCTGCAGAGATGGGCAACAACCTTTCTGGGATATGATTTCAACGTTGAGTACCGATGGACGAGCGACATTTGTCAGGCCGATGCGCTGTCACGCCGGTTGGATGAACATTACCAACTAGAAGGCACTGTCGTTGCTACTTTCTTTATCGAAACGGATGTCAACCGTGTGTTCTCGGATGCTGGGAGCCAGCTACCAATATCTTTCAGTCTGATACGAGACGTCACCTTACGGGACACGTTGCTATAGGTGAGCGTTTTATCATTCACAGTGGCCAAGAAAAAGTTCGGACGTACGGCTACAGCAATGGTTCCAGAGAGGAAATGCAGAATCTGCTGTTTAAGACTGTATTCTGTTTGGTGAGCTCGTCGTCACCCCAGCCGAACTTCAATTCAAAGTCCTACATTAATTTCATACTGGACATCTCGGCTCCAACAGGTTGAAAGCTCTAGCGAGGAGTTACATGTATCGGCCATTTATGGATTCTAAAATTTGGAAGTTAACAAGCTCGTGTTCAAAGCGTGGCCTAGCAGCAAAATCACGCGGAAATGTAAGCTATTCTCCTAACCACACCCACGAAACGATGGTCAAAGGATCACCTTGATTTTGCAGGGCCAATCAAAGTACGGAACTTCTTGCTTAATATCGATGCATACAGTAAATGCCTCGAGATCTTCGAAATGTCGTACACATCAACAACGGCCACAATCACAATCCTCAGGGAAGTATTCAGTCGGTTCGGTTTTCCGGAACCAGTAGTATCTAACAATAGACCACAGTTCACCACTTCACATTTTTCTGGATTCTGCCAAGTACATAGCATGCAGCATATACACTTACCTCATTATCCAATCAAATGGGCAAGCTGAACGATTTGTGGATACTTTCAGGACGGCCATGCTCAAAGCTGAAGAAGACGGAGCAACTCAAGAGGTCCTACAAACATTTCTGCTAACATACAAGATTACGCCTAATCCACAGACGCCTGAAGGGAAGTTCCCAGCAGAATCGCTCCTGCACAGAAGGTCTCGAAAGAAATTTGATTTAATGAGAACGCTGGATAGAACCAACTCCGAAATAAACTGGACAATGGAACGTCAATACAACAGAAAACATCGCGCTATAGCATGACATTTCGACGTTAGACAGATGTTGACAAAAGACTATCGGAACAACAAAAACTCTTGGATACCTGGAATGTCTATAAAAAGACATGACCATATCTGCTAGGAAGTGGCCGTAGGCGATGACAGGTGGGTCCGCCACATCAATCAACCTCATACGACAGAAGAGAAGAGGCCCTGACTATGTCTATTGAATTACTCCTGGACGAGTTTAAACTGACAACAACAGAGGCTGCTCAGCAAGATAAGTCTATCACCTCACCAACCATTACTGCAACTGATTGCCGGCCCAGATGATGGACGGATCGTTGCCGTGTCCCTGTCACGCCGGTCCAGATCAACCAAATGCTGAAATCATAAAACACATGGACTTCAAACGGGATGCTAGGAAAAGTACCACTTAACGAACTGATCGGTGAATTCAAAAAGAAGCAAAGTCTCATCTTTCTCCAGAAATCGAGCAGGATAACCGCATTGGTTAATCAAAAGAATGTTCTCACAAAATCTAATACTATTATTGGTAAGTAAAGAAGAGAACAAAGCACACTCAAGAAGGCCGCCACAAAGAAAGAAATATCTGCACTGCGATGGGTAATCATCTCATGTCTGGCGGCCATTACACTGTATCTAGGAGATTGCCATTTTGATCGACCAATCGGGAGCGGGCAAATTTCCGCGAACAGCCAATGGAAGTAGCTGGGCGACCTTAGTGAGCATAACAATGATCCCGCCAACTCTTTATGAGTCTGACCTTCCTGACCCTACACATATCATTACGTGAAGTCTTTCTCAAAGCTCCACTAATGGAACTCGTCGAGACAGCTCCTCCAAATTCCTAAAAATTGCAAGCTAATATTTAGTTACGTAGAACAGAACAAGTTAAGCCTCAA